GCCCTCCACCCTGTTCCGCCCCGGCGCCGGCCTGGGCTTTAGCATGGGCCAGACCGCAGCCCGCACGCGGGAGGGCCTGGCCAAGATGCTGCCAGGAAAGTTCGGGGCCCAGGAGGAGCGCTGACGCGGCGGCAGGGGCAGCGGCGGCAGCAGCGGCGAGCGGCCGCCCGCGCCTGAGGGGAGCGGCGCCGCCGCGCATGCCTGGGGTTTGGGGGCGGAGGCCGCGCGCGCTGCGGCGCCTGCGGAGGCCTGAAACCCTAACACAAGCTTTGCGGGGCGCAAGCGCTGCCACGACCCAGCTGGGATGCCACGACTCAGCCCTGTCTCTGCTTTTCAATGTAACAGGGATTGAACCTGTGAGACATGAACCCCGATACTGTCTGCCTGTCAATGGGAACGCCCCCCGGCCACGGCACAATGTAACAGCGCGGCGCCCGCCCCGGCCTGGCTTTGGTGACGTCAGCAGGCAGGCGCCACCCCAGCCGCCGGCGGGCTGGCCAGCAGAGGCCCCAGCCCGGCCTCGTAAAAGCGAGCGTTGCATACATTGGGATACTATACAACAAACACGGTCAGATATCTGATACAGAGGTCGCACCGCATCCCATTTATATGGAAGCAAACAAAAAATTGTTGTGGCCCCCTCAGGGACCGCCGCCGCCGTCCCGCAGCCGCAGCATCGCGCGCAGCACGCCCTCCCCGGTGCCCTGTGGCCCCGCCCCCCTGTCTGCCAGCCGGGCCGTGAGCAGCTTCTGCTGCGCCCTCAGATCCGCCAGCTGCGCCTCCAGCCGCGCCTCGTCTGTGTTTGAGGTGTGCACGTGTTGGTTTGTGCGGTGAAGAGCGGTTTTGTGTTCAAGCAGATGTGTGTGTGTGTGTGTGTGTGTGTCAGAGGGTGTGTGTGTGTGTTTGCTCACTTCAGAGGGATCAGCAGGAGATTCAGTGCTGAGAAGCTGAGAGAGGGCAGCAGCCGCACGGCCTGGCAGATTCACAGCCCAGCTGCTGCTGCTGCTGCTGCTGCTTAGATAAGTACAACAACAGACAGAGTGCGATAAGCAGCCAGGTGACTGTGTGTCCCCCCCCCGGGGTTGTCCCACCCTGGCTCCCCCCTCCCTGTCGCGCCCCCCTGGCTGCGACCCCCTTGCTGCCCCCCTTGCTTTGCCCCCCGGGGGCAAGGTGGCACCCAACCTGCTTCCAACCGCTGCAGCGCATCTCCAGTCCGAAGCCTGAGGAAAGGGCCGGTCGTGCTGCTCGCCACCGCCGCCGACGGGAGCAGCCACACTTTCCTCTGGGGGGCGGCGCCCCCGCCCCCGCCGCCGCTGCCGCTGTCGCCGCCGCCGCCGCCGCCGCCGGCGCCGGCAGCGTCGCCGGCGCGCTGCTGCCGCCGCAGGGCGGAGAGCGCCTCTCGGTTAGCCTGCCGCTGCCTGTCGGTTTCCACTATCTGCAGGGGGGGGGGGCGGCATGCATGAGCGAGTGCATGTGCACGGCGCCACATGCGCGCAGCAGCCTGTATGCATGGCAGCCTGCATGCATGGCAGCCCGTGTGCGCGGCGCGCGTGCCCGCTGCTGTCCGCACGTGCAGACACAGACGGGCCGGGCGACAAAACATGCCATGGAAGCGTGGGGCTTTGCCCCACCTGCTCTTTGTTTATCAAGAAGAGCTCCCCTAGGCGCTCCACCTCCAACGTCGCATCCTGGAGCTTCTGCATGGCTGCCCCCGGCCGCTGTTGGCCGGTGCCGCAGCCCCTGCACACCGCACAACGGCAGCGGCGGGCGCACAAGCTGCGAGTGAGCGTTGATCAATTGGTGCGGCCGCCTCTGCAGCACGGCGGGCAGTAAGAAGTGAGTAAGTTGCAATGAAATTGTGTATCGACCAGAAAACAAGGGTATGGCTTGGCACAGCGATTTGAGATCGGGGCAGATCGACGACCGGATGGCGATCCAAGCGTATGAAGCAGAAATTGTGGGTAATGCTGGAAATTGAGATGACGAAATGCGCTCGTCAGCTGCTGGGTGTATTGCGCAGGCATTTCAGTACAAGGCAGTCACTGAGTCACAGTGACTGCGGCGATCGATGCAGCAGCGCACCCGGCTCCCCCCGCCCCCGTGAACGCGCTCTGAAGCCGACCAGCCTGCCAAAATTTACACCAGTCACCCTAACCTTATGCGCAAAGGGTTCCAGATATGGTATAGACGCCGTGCGGACGCGTGTGCGCGATGCATTCGCCACTGCAACCAATCGAGCCGCTGCCCCGAGGGACTGCTCCGTTTTGCACTCGCCCAGTCCCTGCTCCCTAGACTTCTCCTCACCGACCTGGACCACCCTGTGCATTTTCCCATGTAAACCCGCGTATCAGCTTGAGAAGACCCAGCGGCGCCGCAGGCGTGCCGGCCGCGGCTTCCCTCCGCAACGCCCGTCACAACGCCTGCTGCCTCCTCGCCCAACCGCCGCCTCCTGACCACCGCTCGAGGCCCAACCCCTGGGCGACACGGCCGCGCAGTGTGCAAAACATTCATTGTGTTACAGCCGCACGCCGTCTTACCCCGCTGCCCATCAAGGCCGACCCCATGGCTGCAAGCAAGCAAACCCAGCCACTGGGTGGTGGGACGCGCAGGCCTGCAGCCTGCGACGCCCCCACACCCGCACGGAAGCCCCCGCAGCAGCGGGGCACCAAACCCGCCGCGCGGACGCCCCTGCAGCGGCCGGGCTCGGCACCAGCGAGCCGCACAGGCTCCTCTCCCCGCCGCTGCTCGGGCCGAGGCCTCAGGGGGGGTGCGCCCCGCGCCCCGCGCCGACGGCCGCCGCCGCACCGCCCGCGCCCCCTTGCGCCTGCACCACACACCGCGCGACAGTGCTGACCCAATCGCGACGTCATCATGATGACGTCACGATGACGTCATCGCATCACATCATGTCGTCGTCCTCGTCCTCCGCCAGCGAGGCCGCCAGCTCAGCCTCCGCCGCGATGCGGTCGCGGCGCTCCTCCTCGGTCTCCTTCTTGCGGTGAGCGTCGGGGTCGAAGCGCATCGCCTGGCGGTTGGCGGCGGTTGGGGGCGGTTGACGGCAGTTGATTGCGGTTGGTTGCGGTTGGTTGCGGTTGGGGGCGGTCGGCGGCGGTGGCTGATTGGGCAGCAAAGGTGGTGGCTACAGGTCATTTAGGATATGGGACGGGCCGCCAGGAGACCAAGGGGCGTGTGCAGATTGCGCAGGCCTCTGCATCCCAACCGACCGACCCAAGCATACCCCCCATCACACAACCAAGCAATCAATAACACCCCCACAAAAAAACAATTGCGCGCGCACAAAAACACACACATTCACACAACCACGCACACACACACCACTCACACTTACACACACAGCCCCTCACGCACACCTTGACTGCCTCGTTGTGGATGTCCAGGCAGAAAGCAATCCGCGCGTGGAACGCCGCCTGCGGCTCCGCGGTGCTGTACACGTCCGCCACCTCGCTGCTGGCCAGGAACCCCCCCGCGCGGTCCAGGCGCGCGGCCAGGCCGCCGTCGCGGATGGCCTTGGCGCAGATGAACTCGGCGTCCTCAGCGCTGGGCAGCGCCAGCTTGGACGCGATGTCCTGTATTTCGGGGGTGGATGGTGGGGTGGGGATGAGGTGGGGGTGGGGGATGAGGGTGGGTT